CTTTGGCAGGAAACGATTTCGCGGAGCAGGCGAGTTACAAGACTGAAACTTTGCAGGGATATTTTCTGTGCATGTGAAAGCTGAGGATTTCAAATTCAGCTGTCGCGCACGCTTGTGCAGCGCATATGATCGCGTCAAAATTTGCAATGGACATTGTCCTAACTCGAAAACTAGCCGAAAACTTTGTCTGCATGTTTACCGTCTCAGCCTCGCACCTTATCCAATAAACGAAATAGCCACTTTGCTACAAATGTCTTTGAAGGCTCTAAGTCGTGGCGCAAATGCAAATCGGTACTTATTTTAGGTATGCAATTTCCTACATGTGTAGGAAATGCTATAGCGCTGCTACAGCCAGCAAAAACAAATATTGTCCAGAGGATGTCTGTGTGTGTGTGTTCGGAAGAGAGTGCATTTTGTCACCCACTTTTATTTCAGTAACCAGGAAAGCTGGGAGACTGAAACTTTGGGTACACGTTCCTACCCCGTGTGTCATCCTCGCTCTTCAAGATCTTCCCCCACACACCTGGACGGACCCCTTAAAAAATATGTTGGCGGGAAACGATTTCTCAAACCAGGCAAGGTAGAAAGCTGATACTTAGCAGGAATATTATCTATGCATATGCTAGCTAAAGATTTTAAACTCAGCTGTCGAGCACTTCAATCACAGCCTCAAGCAGTTCCTCAACCCAAAAATCGTTAAGAAATTCATCGCAACCCGGGTCCGAACCCCGGTCGCATATGTAGATGAACATTAGTTAATTTGCATAAGGGGATTTTTCGACAAACGACCGCTCGGGCAATACTTCCACTTTTTAGTGAACTGGAAATTTGCACTTTTTCAAAAAATTTGCCATCATTTTTTCACAAAGCGAGTTTACCGAAAAAATGACCGGACTTCATGCAGAAAACCGGTAATCATGCACCTGGATGTCCGTGCGGCTCTATAATGCACCACCTTCATCCCAGTTGGCGTCGTTCCTCCTGCATGTCGGAAAGAATCAAAGCACGACCAATTTGAGCCCAAGTGTTAGGCTACAGCGTAAGGGTCATTCCTGCTAATAGCGATCTGCGAGTTTAGTGCAACAACGCATGATCACACCGGGCAGCCTGGTGCGCTCCAGCCTAAGTTTCAAACAGCGAGCATTTACCGGATAAACAACTGAGTTTCATGCAGAAAATTGATAATCATGTACCTGATGGCCCACGTAGCTACAATAGATTCCCGCAGACAGTCCTCGAGGGGCTTTAATCCACATCCACCTTGGTCGCCGGGGACATAGAGCCGGTCGATGGTACTTTTGCGGTACCGACACTTTATCCCTTAGCACATCACGTATACGCATGTCTTATTTCCGAGTGCGGTGTATGGCTCCAACTAACTTTCGGCTGCCCCCAGAAACTATTATGCAACACCTTCACCCCAACCGACGTCCTTTCTTCTGCATGGGAAAAGATGCCAAAGCAAGACCAGTATGAGTCCAAATGTTACGCTACAGCGCAAGGGTCATTCCTGCTATTAGCAGTCTGCAAGTATAGTGCGAAAACGCATAGTCGCACCTACAAGCCTGGTGCTTTTCCAGCCTGAAAATGATGCGAGAATTTAGTGTAAAATTTCCGCATCATTCCAGTGAAATTTAGTTCAAAATTCCAACGCTTTTTTTATAATAGTGAACTAGATTTATGTGCTTTCGTGATTCGTTGAATGAAAATTTACCAACTGCCTCCAACAAAAAGTCTTGAAGGATGACAAAAAATCCCAGAGAATCACATTAGAAGTTCCAGTGCTGTCAAGAACAATTGAAACTTTCTTTGTTCGCAAAGTAGAACTCTAACATATTCTAACCAATTGTAGGTAGGTCCTTGTTCCATCACACAGGTATAAGACTTTCCTGATGCGACAACTAGGAAGGATTATTGATGGAAAGAAATCTTTTATTGGTACGAAGTACTGCAGCAAGATGAGCTC